AACCCCACTCCAGTGTGTCCAGGTGGTGGGACATGGTGTCAACAAAGATCCAGCCTTAAGATTTAATGTTGTTTGCCCTGTTGGGTTTTGGACTTACTTGGGTCCTGTTAATCGTTTCTTCTTTCCTATTTCTCCCTTTTGGGAAAGGAATGTCTATCCTATATCTGTTCCATCATCATATTTTGGAAGTAAATAATTTGTTTGATTTCACAGATCACAGCTGGAGGGAAATTTATCTCAAGATGAATTACACTTTGAGTCTCACCCATATGTGATTTAGGTGAGACTCTGGATTTGTTTTTGTTTTGAGACGGAGTTTTGCTCCTGTTGCCCAGGCCAGAGTGCAATGGCACGATCTCGGCTCACCGCAACCTCCACCTCCCGGGTTCAAGTGATTCTCCTGCCTCAGCCTCCCTAATAACAGATCACAGCCATGCACCACCACGTCCGGCTAATTTTGTATTTTTAGTAGAAACAGGGTTTCTCCATGTTAGTCAGGTGGCTCCATGTAGAGAATTCATTCTAAATGAATCCTACCATCTCCCTTAAGTAGATAATCCTCCAAGGCTAATAATGGTCAGAAATCTTCTGCATAGAAGGTAGTGGTACAGAGAGGGGAGAGGGGTGAAAGGTATTGTGGTGTTTTTTACATTTTATTTTAGAACATTTTTTTTTTTCTTTTTGAAACAGAGTTTCCCTCTTATTGCCCAGGCTGGAGTGCAATGGCGCGATCTCAGCTCACTGAAACCTCTGACTCCTGGGTTCAAGGGATTCTCCTGCTTCAGACTCCTGAGTAGCTGGCATTAAGGGCATGTGTCACCATGCCTGGCTAATTTTGTATTTTCAATAGCGATGGGGTTTCTCCATATTGGTCAGGCTCGTCTTGAACTCCCGACCTCAGGTGATCCGCTCACCTCAGCCTCCCAAAGTGCTGGCATTACAGGCGTGAGCCACCACACCTGGCCTATTTTAGAACATTCTTAAACATTTATTTTGAAAAAGGCTAGTCTGGTCAGGTGCAGTGGCTCACGCCTGTAATCCCAGCACTTTGGGAGGCCAAGGTGGGTGGATCACAAGGTCAGGAGTTTGAGACCATCCTAGCCAACATAGTGAAACCCCATCTCTACTAAAAATGCAAAAATTAGCTGGGTGTGGTGGCACGTGCCTGTAGTCCCAGCTACTTGGGAGGCTGAGGTGGGAGAGTCACTTGAACCTGGAGGCAGAGGTTGCAGTGAGC